GCGGTGTTTCCATTAAGTAAGAAATGCTGTTAAAGTCATGCGTGAATATGTTTGTTCTCGTGATAAGTCATTACAAACATGGCGGCAATGGATGTAAACACATAGCAAATTGCTACAGCGACACAAGCACTCATCATCAGAGGAGACGTCGGCGTCTTATCGAGGCTTTCCAGCGACAAGCCCCTATTTGGGAGTGGCTACGTATGCTGTGTTTTTGGGAAATTGTAGTCGGTGAGTTTACTACTTTCTTACTACTTCCATTTCCTGTTATCTTCTTCTTCGTTGTCTTTTTCGCCAGTAGAAACAGCCGGTTGTTGATCACGTGACTCTCGTGATGCGAAAAAAGTGTTTCATTGCAGTTTTGCGAAAAACACCAATTTCGATACGGCCAAAAAAACCACCTCATCCTAGCGCAAAAATATTGTCGAAAAATGTATTTTTTTTTTCAAAATTGATGTGTTTTCATTGAGTAATTTCTTTTTGAAATTCTAATTTGCGCATTTTCATGGCCAATGGAAACGCAGCTAGTGGCTGATTTCCAGACCTTTGTGGAGGTAGATGAGAAGCCAGTCTTTTCCACCGATCTTATTTAAGTATCAGCTGATCTCCCAGATTTAAAGAAATTGGTGCTGATAAATTAGCCGGCCTATTTATCACTGCACCTATAAAACCTAGTTTAATCCTTGCATTTTAAACAATATCCACACACAAAGCAACCCAGGAATGTTGACCAGAAGTCAATGAGATTAGCCTTGAAGGTTGAGGAGGAAGCACCAACAAGAAAGGACATGCAGTTCTTCAGTACACACAGCAAAGTAGCATTAGCTCATCATCTTCTGGCTACATTATTCAATCCACGACACCCTCGGACTCTTATGTAATTGTCAATTTGTGTAAGGAACAAAAAAAATAAAAAAATAAACTGCCTCCTCCTAGACAGCAAGAGCAGTCTAGTGAGAACTCACGGAGGACTGAAATAGTTTGTCATGTGTTCATCATCGCTGCAGCCTTTGAAGTGCTCACCCCGTATCCAGAAACYTTCAACAGGAGAGGGCCTTCGAGTGGCTCTGTGTGTGTGGGTGTGTGCCAGAGAGACAAAAAATACAAAATAAACGAACAGGGAAGAGGAAATACAAGCAGAGGATAACGACAATCGAGTTGTTGGGCTGTGATAACTTCAAAGATTATTATTATTATTATTATTATTATTATTATTATTACTGCAGGCTGAAGCCGTGCTGTGGCATCCCTCAAGCTTTGATCATTATGTAAAGCTGTTGTGCTCAACGCTGCTACTGAATACATTACTGAGCGGTTAACCAGGGAAGGTGCAAGCAGGCGAACACACACTGACACAATGACTCGGCTTAAAAACGTCTTTAGATTTCACAACAACACACCCAATCATGACACACAAAACGCACTGGTAAACCTCTCCTTGAGGAATCAGCTGGATTGGAGGAACAGGAAGAGATAACTGACTTAAACAGGAAGACCATCAAAACTCACACAGTTCTGTTCTGACTTTTGTCAAGTTATGTTAGACTTCAGAGACACATTAGGAGCAGAAAGCTGGCAATAAAAAAAAAAAAACAACTGGGGGCGATAAAAGATGCAAATGGTACCATCTAGTAGCACCATGGGGACTGCAGGAGCTTGTTCCATGAAAATAAAATGTTTTCTTGGACTTTTTGCCGCATCTGTTTCTGCCGTCTTTTCCCAAATAAAACCCCAAATGCTCCTTCAATTTCTGGTTTTAAAGCGAAAGATGCAGATGTTTTAGGCAAAAAAGAAGCCGCCTTTCTTAGTGGTTAGTTTACTACAAAGACCTGAAGCATTTTAGAATTCATCTGCATAAAATCGAATCATGGTAATAGTCAAATAATGTATAAAAATTTCAAATTGTTGCATAAGTTTGCTTGTTTCAAGGCTGATATTTAAATAATGATTTCAGTGTTCCATAATTTGCAGGGGAGGAAATGTATCCATTGTGTTGTGGAGGTGATTTATTACAAAAACAATCTTGAAACACTGCCCCAGATGTCATTATCCAGTGTGTAATCAATTCTTTTGAACATAAGATAGGAAAAAAAATTAAAAATACAGACTGTTATTATATCATGAAACTGATAATATTCCTAAACATACTGCTATTTTTTTGTCCAATCAAACCAAAAATATAGTTACTATCTTGTAAGATAAACATCAAAACAAGTATGCCCTTTAGAATAAAAAAAATAAGAAATATTTGACATCTTTATCTAAAAAATAAATAGGAGAGCTCTATTAAAGTTTCACCATTAAGATAATCAGTCCACAAAGTTCATATAAGTATGATTGCTTTTTACATACTTAGTACAAAAAGTTTTTAAAAAATCTGTTTGGTAGATTATATCTTTGTTGTAACAATGCTTGTAAAGCCTGTTAATTACCCTTTTAAACTGTGCCACATTCGTAAGGAACATGCCTTCGTGGATGAGCAGTAGAGCTGAGGATGTGGGTTGCCTACATGAAAAATTTGCCAAATCTTCTCCGTCATTGAATAGGGTTCAAAAGTATCCAGCAGTAGGCCATTTTCTTCATTTAAAATCTAAATTTAGACACTTTTTTGCCAGGTTTTGCAGTGTTCCAGTATTTTATTTCTTTAAACGTAATACAATGGATTTTAGGACCATGTGATCCTCCCCTGTAAGAGGGCCGATACCGCTCTGCTAGCAGTCAGAGAGGACACTGTAGAGACAGGAACAAGCTAGGTTTTTTGTAACCCTTGGATCTTGGATCTGGATTTCTCCCTGACAAGGGAGATGACAAACCACCATGAGAACCTTGAAGTGATGAACCTGTTTGTGGAACCACATGTTCTTTGCATCAGAAAGCTGGGGACCATTTGAGGCTCCATCAGTAGAACTACTAGTAGAACCCAGAGAGTTTCACACTGCAGCAGGTAAAATAGTAGTGGCAACAGTAACTACAAATATAGCTAGTAATTCAGCATGGTTCACCTGTTGACTTTCTGTGGTTCGGACAAGCTCAATTACGATGTGGACGCAGCGAGCAGCCCATTGATGGACCCAGGAAAGAGACAGATGTCCTCTACGTCCACATCTACATCCAACACCTGCAAACCCAGGCAGGTGGACGACAAGGTGATGGAGGCTCTGACTGTCTGACGAAGCGAGCCAGAAGCTGGGTTTAAAGTCTTAATAACACAAGTGCTCAGTCTATATTGAGTCGATGAGGTCCAGCACCAGTTCTTGGGCTATTTTTTTTAATAATCACAAATTGTCTTCATAAAACTGCTGATTTTTGGACTCTTCAAACACACTCCCTGCCGTTTTCTAAACGGCAGAAAAATGCARGTCTGACGTTATTAATTTCAACTTTTTTTCCAGCCCCCAATTTTTTTCAAAACAAACTCGTACCCTCATCTATGGTCATGAGCTTTGGGTCATGACCGAAAGAACGAGGTCCCGGATACAAGCAGCCGAAACGGGTTTCCTCCGCAGGGTGGCTGGGCTCTCCCTTAGAGATAGGGTGAGAAGCTCGGTCATCCGGGAGGGACTCAGAGTAGAGCCGCTGCTCCTCCACGTCGAGAGGAGCCAGTTGAGGTGGCTCGGGCATCTGGTAAGGATGCCTCCTGGACGCCTCCCTGGTGAGGTGTTCCGGGCACGTCCCACCGGGAGGAGGCCCKGAGGAAGACCCAGGACACGCTGGAGGGACTATGTCTCTCGGCTGGCCTGGGAACYCCTTGGAGTTCCCCCGGAGGAGCTGGAAGAAGTGGATGGGGAGAGGGAGGTCTGGGCCTCCTTTCTGAAGCTGCTGCCCCCGTGACCCGACCCCGGATAGGCGGAAGAAAATGGATGGATGGATGGATGGATAAACTCGTACTCCTGAAACTTTTGAACCTTCTGCACTGCCCAACAGCTTATTTTGCTGTTGCTACTGACACTTATTTTGAGCTCCTGGTACCCGCTGATGCTGCCACTCGATGCTCAGTATTGCCTAGAACTGTTACAACAAAGAAATAATTTACCAAACGCTGATTTCCTTCTTTTTGTGATAAGTTTATTTTCATTGTCATGATTTGTATTCCAGTTTTAAGACATCTGGGGTTATTGGAGATYTCATAGCCTACAGTGTGTTTTTAATCACCACCATAATGAGTAACGTTGCTGTTGGGGGTATTTAGGAGCTTATGGAGGAAAACCCCAGCTCAGAGTCGCCACATTTAATTTTCATCTACACTTTCCTTTCCAGCCTGACTCTTAAAAAAACAGTCCATCAGTTCCTGTTCCTACCTGGCCTACATTTGCCCACAAACTCTGGCTGTCTGATAGATTAAAAAAAGAAACATAAGCAGTGCAAATAAATGCCTGCACTGTCATTATCACTGGAGTGCAGCGTGAATATAAACAATGCTGGGGGATGCTGTTGTGTTACAAATAAAGAAACAGGAAAAAAAATAGTGCACGATGCTACTATAAGGAGCACCACTCAACCAGCCTTATAAAGGTGCATTACAGTGTTTCTTTTTTAACCCACTTCGACCTCTAGCATTGGCAATAATTAATCTCCTTTTAAGCATTGGTGTCATGATTTTAAAAAAGCCCAGCCAGCYGACATCAGAACCTGTTCGCACGGATGTGATGCCCACCCATTTCAACACCAAGGACAGCGGTCGACGGCACGGAGAGCCTGACAGCCATGACAACACACAAGCAACTAGAAAAAAATAAATACAAATAAAAATGACAGATTTCTGCACGGATGCGTCGTCAGCGGCGACGTGAACCTGCCCAGAATGACACTGCTGTTTTAATGTGTGCTACCTTACCGGCGTACAGAAACACACACGAAATAAAKCCCCCCTCTTCTAGATAAGCGTTTACCAAAGCGGCTTTTTGCCCCCCCCCTGCAACAAGAAGCACTCTTTTTTTTTTAAAACCACTGTTTATAAATATATAACAAACGCGTCTTTTTTACGAATAAAACATGCCTACCTGCTTGCTACGAGGTCGAGGAGCTCACATGTCCCGTTGCTTTCATTGTATTTCTTTTTGGTCTGTTCTTAAGGTACATATGTATTTTTTTTTTCCCAGAGATGAACACCGTTATGTGTCTACCAGCGCCATGTTATTATCTCCGAGTGGAGGACTCCTGTGCGCTACATCCGGGCGGCTGAGGGGAGCAAATGAGCAGAGAGAGGGCGGAGAGAGTGCTCGGGAAATGTAAAGCACCTGTGCTGTGCAGCCGGACGATGGGGACGGTTTACAGTCAGGTACGGGACCCGCACATACATGAACCCATAGCATGAAGCCGTGCCTTGTTTTCCCGTACAGCTTAAGCTAGACGGTTACAGCAGCTAGCTTACAGGGGACTTAATAAAGTTAAAATGTTAAATAAATAGCCTAACAAATAATAAAATAACGACAAAAATTCTCTTAAACAATAAATAAGTCGTTCAGTTTATGTGTATAATGTGCTAAGTGGATAAAAAAATGCTAAAGGTAATAAATCGGCATATAATTAGCTTAAGACGCACCTTTGTTGTTGACTGTTAATGCGCATGCGTAATATCAAATGCATTCACCAGCTATTTCCGGTTTCAAGATCAGCGTTGAACTCTAGTTTTTTTGGTCCATTACTCAGGCTTTTCTATTGAATATACACTAGACCAGTGGTTCACAAACTTTTTGTCTTCTGACCCACAAAATATCCATGGCAAAAACTTGTGACCCCAAATATTACTGGTCTGAGTACATAAACTTCGTTAATAACCCTAAAAAACACAGGCTTTTTGACAATGTAAACAGCTTATACACAAATATAAATACTTATTTTTACTTATTTTGTGTTTTCGTAATAATTATAGGGAATATATTACATCAGCAATTATTTTATTACCCCTTAAATTGATTTCTGGAGATTATCCAAGGTGCTTCATGACCCATAATTGGGTCCCAAGCCC